GATATTTCTAAAATCTTACGCGAATGCAGAATATGCTTTGCAGGACACTTCTGGTGAGCAAAGCAAGCAGTCATGAGTACTCTACTGCTCTGGAAACCTTGCTATGGGGCAAGGTGGTTTGGCCGTCCAGCAACCACTCACATTGATCAGCTATGTTATGACACAGAATGCCTCCATAATGACATTCCGACCTTGATGCAGGACTGTGATGGTTAGCGTGATAGTCTCATGCATGTCCGAGCTAACCGAATAAAAAAAGAAGTGATAATTCTAATAAGTAATCTGTACATACAGTTTTAAATTGTCATTTAAAAAATAATAATTATATTTTCCTATTCATTTTCAATCAGGAATTTTGTGATGTTTATAAGTAAGTGATTTATTTAAATAAAGTCAATTTTTTTTTCTGTAGGCGGTAACCACCTTAACATTTAAATCACAGCTTGGAAGTAAAAAGCAATCCTTAACGCAATGTGGATATTTTCTAATACGATAATTTGAAACTCTCACAAGTGCTATAAGCAAATAATAACTTGTCATCTATTAAAGAAAGGACTACTAAATGTTTAAACCTATGTTATAATTAGGGGGCATACATATATATCATGTTGAAACACGATCCCTGTACGATCACCAAAGTTAAGCAACATCGAGTCTGGTCAGTACCTCGATGGGATTACCAGCTACTGTAAGTCTGGATGTGCGGGTGGTGTAATGGATAATGACATAGAATTTTTAATGGGAGAGATGAGTTCTAATTGGGATCGTCGTATTCACGCGCAAATACCCATAGAAAATCCACCTCTAATTCCCTCAGGTATGAGTTAATTAGTAAAACTTGTATTATCATTATCTCAAAAATATCTTACAATCAAAGAATATGTGTAAAAAAACAATCAAATTCAATTAGGACAATTCCACTAATAGTTTTTTTTTTATGCAATATGCAAAGAAGGTAAGAAAACGAGGAATTATAAATATGCAAAATTGATTCCAATGCGAAAACAAGCCGAGTTCTTTGTTTTGGTAATCTTTTTTCAATCTTGTTTTAATTGTTTAAGCCGTCATTTATAAAGGGGATGGCAGAAATACCTCCCATATTTCAAACTGTCACCTGCGGGATGCTAGTGAACTTAGGCAAGTGGCAAGGATGTCTTCATCTAGCTAATGCCTTGCTATTCTTTTTAGGTACGATCAGTTACCATTATGTCTTGGACCGGAACACATCGTGTGTTCGCTATTAAAACGTTTTTGTAAGAATCGTGAATCTGTAATTGTAATACAGAGAGATTTTCATGTCCATTTCATGTTATGCCGGAATGATGCTTTTCCGAATAGGAAATCGATACTTTCAATGATTGAACATTTCAGGGCCACAAGTTCAGCGCTTAAAAGAAAGCCATTTGAAAGACCAAGAAGCGCTCGAAATTCCGGGTGATGGAAAACCTTAGAAATTGTCGACAACAGTGAATGGCGCCTATTAGCCGCCATTTGAAAGATGTCATTTTAAAAAACAAATAAATAAAAAATGTAGCCGTTTCTTTAACCCCATGCTCATCAAATATTTTGGAAAAAAACGATTCATTTTCAAACAAATGTTTTTATTTGTCTTTAATATACAAAATAAGAAACTGACGCACCTTGAAGTAGTTCAGCGGTGGCTCACACGTATGAGTTGGCAATTGGACATTTCAAGCTCAAAAGGGCATAAAAAGAATCAATACGTGGACGTGTTTATTCGTCCAAGTCTGAAAAATACATTTTCGGTAAAAACGTATATATACGTCTACGCCGGGAAATGGGGTTAAACAAAGTGAAATAATATTTTAAATTTAGTTACCTTGGTTTTTTTGTCAACCTTTAAAATGTGGGAGGTATTTCTGCCGCACCCTGTATAAACACAAGATAGATATTGAGATATTGATAAATAAGTTTAACCATTGTCTCATATCTGATAACTGTATCTTCCTATTTTCTACCTAGTCCATTCCAATCTTCGCTCTCCATGTATTTTTTATCTAAATGTTATACAATGCAACTGTATATGAAAAGACAGACAAAAATTCAAGAATCTGCATCTGTTTTCTACTGCTTTCTTTTCTTTCATCTTTCTTTCCTTTTATCATTCTACAAAAAAACATCTCGCAATTTCAACGCATTTCCATCGTTTCCTGACATTAAATCTTCCATACATTCTCGTGATATCTGACCAGCAAACATGTTTGTTAATGTCTAGCGTTCGTCTCCATCCATTATCTTTCTCTATATAATTATGTAGGTTTCTCGGCCTGAAAACCATACTCAGAAAACCTAGGAATCAATACTATCACAGTCTTACATGAAAAAAAATCAGAATAATTGTATAGATCTTTGATGCTCTTGGGTAATTTGCTGTGGGATAATAACTAACAAACTAATCTGACAAGTCCTGTAAGAAATTAGCATCGTAGGAGGACCGGATTTACTGCAGCAGAGCCACATAGCCTGGCGAAGCCCATCTCTCTTCAGGCTGTTTTTAAATATAAAATTTTCTTTCTCTTAGATTGGTTGCTAGCTAAGGCTAGAGAACCCAATCTTCCTTGCTATTTAATCCATAGCTGGGAGAAGAAGAACCTGATTCATTCCTTTTCCAAGGGCAAAAATGCAAGATAATAACCCGGAATTTGAACCTGAACCCACGATTTCACTTTGAGCGCCGATACCCGTTATACTACCGGTATTTCCAACATGCGCCATGAATTGACTTCAGTCTTCACTGGGTATTCCATATATTTATCCCTATGTCAGACAAAACTAAGTTTAAATATATACTTTAATAACTTATCATCATCATCAGCCCCAGGACCAGGTTGTGGTCGTAGGGTCACTGCGCATATCTGGTTTGATAACCGAAGATGTATACCTTCATGCGTACAATATCTTTGGTAAGCTGACCTAGCGGAGCCCTTCCCGCTCCGTGTCAGAAGACAGCCGATGTCGTTCGAAGGCTGACCATGGTAACGTATACAGGTCCATTGATTCCGTCGAGGGAGAAATCGTCTGTCCTGGCCGTTGACTTCAATCTACGAAGCCCTCCGTCCGCCCAGTTCGTATTATCACTGCACTGACTGAAGACATAACCACGGAGACCAGTTTACCCCATTGTTCTAGATGGCCGTTGACTTGGCAATAAAGTCCGTTCACCATTTAATGGGTCTTCAGGTTAATTTTGCTGGGTATCTAGCCACCCAAATCAGTAGAAAATTTTGGGGTCGGAGCCGGTTTAGTCCCTGATGATCCGACCATGAGACGGGTACTCTTGGGTAACATGGTACCAGATTCTCGCCGAATGAACTACAATATTTATTATATATTTATATTCATATTTTTACAACTCTTTTGCACATTGATTTAAATGGTGTTTAAATGAACATTTTCATTTAGCTCACAAGATGTTCAGTAAAACGGTTGTAATACTAAGTAAAAGTTAATAAATAAAGTGAATATTTTTTAAATCCCCTGAAAATATCACTTACGTATCATCTTCTTAATACCTCATTAACTCCACCATTCATAAGGACAGGCCAATCAGCTAACTTCGTTTCTGAAACCAGATACTTGTATAAGCAAGACAAAGACCCTGTACCAAAGGGAAGAACAATCCTACAGCACTTACCGTACACGGCAAACAGTTACCGACCACAATAAAAACCTAGAAAACTAATTAGGACAACTGTCTCTAGCAAAAATATATTCTCCCTCTCTCTGTCTCTCTGTCTCTCTCCCGCTCGCTCACTCGCTCTCTACGTTCCAACGTACCGCGAGATATGCACTATGTCCCACCCCAACAAAAATAAAAGCATGTATTTGTATATAAAAAGAAAATAAACCTTCCAAATCATTCTTTACCGTACCGAACGCTGGACGGTCTCATCAAAGATGAAGAAGACACTAGAGGCAACGGGCGTATAATTCTGCAGAAGGATGCTAAGGATATCATGGGCCGAGCGTGTGAGCAACGATGAGGTTTCGGAGAGGATGCAAACAAGGATGAAGCTTATACTTAAAATCAGGAAGAGGCAGCTGAAATTTCTAGGACAGGTAATGAGAAAGGAGGGCTTGGAGAATCTAATACTCATAGGTCGAATAAAGGGAAAGGGAGACAAAACAACGCATGACATACCTACCGGGGTTAAGCAAGTGGATGACAGAACATGACCTGGGGGAGTTAGCAAAGGGACAAAACTTATTGCGAGCTACAAGGAATAGGAGGAAGTGGAGGGCCATGATCGCCTACGTCGTGAAGGGATGCGGCACATAAAAAAAAAAGAAAACAACGTTCGCTGAAGGTTCATTCATTTTCATGTTCTAAAAGTATCCGCCATCTTAAGTGTCCAAAATATCTGATAAAATGTGTATACATTTAATTGATCCTATCCAGATCACATGGCATCTTTCAAGCGCCATGTGAATAAACATGTTAGTGCCAGTAATCATGTGATCATGTTCGTCTCTTACTGTCATGTGACCGCCTCCAGTCCAGTGATCACGTGATGCACTTCAGTCGAGATACCAGGCGACAATATCTGCACCACTGATTATGAGATCCGGTGATCCTGCAACAGTGTCTGTTCCCGTGACTAAGAGAGCATGTCTGGCTCTATTAATGCAGTCACGTGGTAGATATCTATTATGTAAACATCTCTTTGGCACGATATAAGCCTTACTGGTTGCTATAGTTACCGAATAGGACGAACGTAGACGAAAATGCAAGCAGCGTTAAAAAATGTATGTACTCTGATAGATAATTAGTCAGACAGGTAGGTAGGGAAAGACAGAAAGAAAGAAAGGGAAGAAATGAACATCATCAAAGTGGAGGAAAAGGAAGGAGAAGTAGAAGGAGGAAAGGAATGAGAGAAGAAAGGAAGGGAATACGGAGAAGAGCGGGAAGGGAAAGAGGAAGAACGGAAAACAAATAAAGAAAGGAATTGAAGGAGGAAAGGGAAAAAATGTATAGAAGACTACAGGACGGAAGAAAGGAAGGAAAATAGGAAGGAGGGTAAGAAACAAGGAAAAGAAAGAAGGAGAGAAAGTGGAAGAAGAAAGAAAGAAAGAAAGAAAGAAAGAAAGAAAGAAAGAAAGAAGCGAATGGAGGAGAGAGGGAAGAAAAGAATGGGGGGAAGAAAGAAAGAAGTGAATGGAGGAGAGAGGGAAGGAAAGAATGGGGGGAAAGGAAGAGAGAAAGTGGAAGGAGAAAGAAAGAAAGAAAGAAAGAAAGAAAGAAAGAAAGAAAGAAGAGAATGGAGGAGAGAGGGAAGGAAAGAATGGAGGGAAAGGAAGAGAGAAAGTGGAAGGAGAAAGAAAGAAAGAAAGAAAGAAAGAAAGAAAGAAAGAAAAGTGAAAGGAGGAAGAGAGGGGAAGACAAGAAAGGAATGGAGGGAAAGGAAGAGAGAAAGTAGAAGGAGAAAGAAAGAAAGAAAGAAAGAAAAGAAAGAAAGAAAGAAAGAAAGAAAGAAAGAAAGAAAGAAAGAAAGAAGTGAATGGAGGAGAGAGGGAAGGAAAGAATGGGGAAAGGAAGAGAGAAAGTGGAAGGAGAAAGAAAGAAAGCAAGAAAGAAAGAAAGAAAGAGAAAGAAAGAAAGAAAGAAGTGAATTGAGGAGAGAGGAAGGAAAGAATGGAGGAAAGGAAGAGAGAAAGTTGGGAGAAAAGAAAGAAAGAAAGAAAGAAAGAAAGAAAGAAAGAAAAGAAAGGAAGAAAGAAAGAAAGAGAGAAAGTGGAGTTGGGGAGACAAGATCAAAGAAAGAATGGGGGAAGGGAGGAGAGAGAAAAGTGGAAGGGAGAAAGAAAAGAAAGAAAGAGAAGAAAAGAAGAAAGAAAGAAAGAAAGAAAGAGAGAAAGAAAGAGAAGGGAGAATGGATCAAAGAGAGTCTGGAAAGAATTTGTGAAAGAAAAAAGAAAGAAAGAAAAAGTTGGAAAGAAAGAGGGAAGGAAAAGAATGGTTAAAGTGGAGGAAGAGAAAAAAGGAAGTTGGGAAAAGAAACAAAGGAGAAAGAAAACAAAGAAAGAAAAAAAGGAGTTGGGAGACAAGATCAAGGGAAGGAAAAAGGAGGGAGAAGAGAGAGAGAGGAGAAGGAGAAAGATCAAAGAAAAAAGAAAGAAAGAAAGAGAGAAAGTGGAAAGAAAGATCAAAGAAGTGAATGGAGTTAGAGGGGAAAGAAAGAATGGAAAGGGAAAAAGAACAAGATCAAAGGAGTCTGAAGGAAAAGAGAGAAAGAAAGGGAGACAAGAAAAGGGAAAAGCTGTTAAAGAGAAAGAAAGAAAATTGGGAACAAGATCAAAGGAGTCTGGTTACAAGAAGAGAGAAGAGAAAAGAATTGGGAGAAAGATCAAAGGGAGATCTGCTGTTAGTGAGGAAGAGAGAAAGAAAGAAAGAAAGAAAAGGGAGTCTGCTGTTACTTTCTGTGAGAAAGAGAGAAAGAAAATAGTTGGGAGAAAGATCAAAAGGAATCTGTTTTTTGGAAGGAGAAAGAAAAGAAAGAAAAAAGAAGGAAGAAGAAAAGGAGTCTGCTGTTAAGAAAAGGAAAGAAGAGAAAAGAAAGAGAGTTGGAGGAGAAGATCAAAGAAAGGAAGCTGTTAGTGGAAGGAGAAGAGAAAAAGGAAAGGGAGAAAAATCAAAGGAGTCTGCGTTAATTGTGAGGAAAGAGAATAAAGGAGAATGGAGAAAGAAAAGGAGTCTGCTGTTAAAAGAAATAAGAGATAAAGGGAAAGAGAAAAAAAGAAAAAGGAAGAAAGAAGAGAGAAAGAAAGAACAAGATTAAAGGGAGTCTGAAGAGAGAAAATGGAGAGGGGAAAGAGAAAGAATTGGGGAAGAAAGTGGAGAAAAGACAAGATCAAAGGAAAGTTAGAAGGAAGAGAAAGAAAGACAAAAATCAAGGAAAAAAAGAAAGAGAACTGGTTTTTTGGGAGAGAGAGGAAGGGAGTTGGGGGGGACAAGAAGAAAGAGAAAGGAAAGAAAGAAAGAAAGGTCAGAAAGAAGTTGGGAGAGAAAGATAGAAAGAAAAATTAAAAGGACTGTTAGAAAGAAAGAAGAGAAAGTGGAGTTGGGAGACAAGATCAAAGGAGTCTGCTGTTACTTCTGTGAAAAAGAAAAGAAAAGGAGAGATTTTTGGGAGTCAAAGAAAAGTGAGAAAGAGAAGAAAGAAAAGACAAGATCAAAGGAGTCTGCTGAAAGAGGAAGAGAGAAAGTGGAGTTGGGAGACAAGATCAAAGGAGAATGCTGTCTTATTTATGAGGAAGAGAGAAAGTGGAAGGAGACAAGATCAAAAGAGTCTGCTGTTAAAGAAAAGAGAAAGGAAAAGAAAGAAAAGTTGAAAGACAAAAGAAAAGAAAGAAAGAGAAAGAGGAAAGAAACAAGATTTCTTCCTCAAAGAATGGGGGAAAAGGAAGAGAGAAAGTGGAAAGACAAGATCAAAAGGAATCTGCTGTTAAAAAAGTGAGGAAGAAAAAGTGGAGTTGGGAGACAAGATCAAATGGAGTCTGCTGTTACTTTTGTGAGGAAGAATGGATATATATAGACAAGATCAAATAGTCTGCTGTTACTTTTTGTGAGGAAGAGAGAAAGTGGAGTTGGGAGACAAGATCAAAGGGAGTCTGCTGTTAAAGAAAGAAAAGAAAAAAGGAGTTGGGAGACAAGATCAAAGGGAGTCTGCTGTTACTTTTGTGAGGAAGAGAAAAAGTGGAGTTGGGAGACAAGATCAAAGGAGTCTGCTTGTATTCTGTGAGGAAAAGAAAAGTGGAGTTGGGAGACAAGATCAAAGAAAAGTCTGCTAACTTTGAATGGAGGAAGAGAGAAAGTGGAGTTGGGAGACAAGATCAAAGGGAAATGCTGTTAAAATGTGAGGAAGAGAAAAAGGGAGTTGGGAGACAAGATCAAAAGAAAGAAAATTAAATGAAACGGAAGAGAGAAAAGTGGAGTTGGGAGACAAGATTTCAAAGGGAGTCTGCTGGAGGTGAGGAAGAGAGAAAGTGGAGTTGGGAGACAAGATTAAAGGGAGTCTGCTGTTACTTCTGTGAAAGAGAGAAAGAAAGACAAGATCAAAGGGAGTCTGTTTCAAACTCTGAAGGAAAGAGAAAGGGGAAAAAAGAGACAAGATCAAAGGAGTCTGATGATTTTTGAGAAAGAAAGAAAAAAAGGAAAGAGACAAGATCAAAAAGGGAAAAAGGTTAATTTTTAATGGAAAAAGAGAGAAAGTGGAGTTGGGGAGACAAAGATTTTGCTTTTAGTCTGCTGTTACTTTGGAGAAGAGAGAAAGTGGAGTTGGGAAACAAGATCAAAGGAGTCTGCTGTTACTTTGTGAGAAAGAAAGAGGAGTTGGGAGACAAGATCAAAGGGAGTCTGGAAAATGAGGAAGAGAGAAAGGGAAGGAGAAAGATCAAAGGAGTCTGCTGTTAATTTAAGAAAGGGAGAGAGAGAAAGAAAGTTAGAAAGATCAAAGAAAGTCTGCTTTTATTTGGAGGAAGAGAGAAAGAGTTGGGAGACAAATTCTGGAGTCTGCTGTTACTTGAAGGAAAGAGAAAGAAGGAGAAAGATCAAAGGAAAGAATCTTTTGAAAGAAAAGAAAGAAAGAAAGAAAGAAAGACAAAATCAAAGGGAGAGGATTGAGGGGAACAAAAGAAAGGGGTTTTTGGGAGAGAGAAAGTGGAAGGAGAAAGAAAGAAAAGAAAAAAGGAAGTCTGCTGTTAAGAAAGAAAAAAAAGAAAGTGGAGTTGGGAGACAAGATCTGGAGGGAAAGCTGTTACGATTTATGAATGAGAGAGAAAGTGGAAGGAGAAAATGAAAGAAAGAAAGAAAGAAAGAAAAAAAGAAAAGAAAAAGAAAGAAACGAATAGAGGAGAAAGGGAAGGAAAAGAATGGAGGGAAAGTTATTTAAAAAATGTCCAAGGAGAAAGAAAAAAAAGAAAGAAAGAAAGAAAAGAAAGAAAAGAATCTTTAATGGAGGAGAGAGGGAAGGAAAGAATGGGGTGAAGGAAGAGAGAAAGGAAGAAGAAAGAAAAAGAAAGAAAGAAAGAAATTCCAAAAAAAAAGAAAGAAAGAAAGAAAAGAAAAGAATAGATTTAGAGAGGGAAGGAAAGAATGGAGGGAAAAAGGAAAGAGAAAGAAAAGAAGGAGAAAGAAAAAAAGAAAAAGAAAGAAAGAAAAAAAAAAAAAACGAATAGAGGAGAAATGGAAGGAAAGAATGGAGGGAAAGAAGGAGAGAAAGTGGAAGGAGGAAGAAATAATAGAAGGAAGGGAGAAATAAAAAAGAAGGAACGAAGGAAAAGCAGGAGAGAAAGAAATCATGAAAGGAAGTGGTGGTATGTCTTCTGTCACACAGAAAAAAAAAGATAATACCTGATAGCCAAAATGGGGAAGATATAAATATGATGTGCTAAACAAATGGGAAAAAAACTTTGACTTCCTCCAGTATATATATATATATATATATATATATATATATATATATATATATAGTTAAGTTAGTAATCCCAAGGAAGATGAAATCCTGAGAGCTGAATGTAAAACCAGAGTTTGAGATATTTATCAATTAACCCCCTATACCCCTCCCATGTCTCTTTACCTATCCCTCTCACAACCCCTGTTAAATTACAAAATCTTACACTACCCATCAATTTTATTGTCATTTTTCGTTTCATTTCTTTGTTGGAAGTGCTATCTGATGATCCGGCGTCCTTTTAAAAGGTGAAATAAATTATTGTAATGGTACCTTAAAATGGTCTTTTTTTTTTTTAATATATTATATATATATATATATATATATATATATATATATATATATATATCAAATCAAGGTATTATTCGGCATGTTTTTGTTAAATAGTATGGACAAAAATGTTTATCAATATTTTAATTAACTCTTTCAACTTTCCGAATAAGTTGTTTTGTTTTATCGGTAAATTTGCCAAAATTCATATCAACTTTAATTTTCTATAATTTTTTTTCTTCCGGGTACTTTCGAATGTTGTTACATTTGTCTTCAAGGATTATTCTCTGTATAGTTACGCAACTGGTTTTTGATTTCAGCGTCCTCACGTTTGATGAAACCAATTTCAAATCACTCAAGGTGACGTCATATAAACGGTCAATGAGTTAGCGTAGTTAACCTACAAGATAGTGTGGTGCACGTGTGACCAATGTAAGAATTTAATGTTATTTGTTAATGTTGGAGATACAATCTCCTAAAGGACAGAAGAATTCATACAAAAAAAAAACATTATTTTTTACACAGAGTAGATTTTTGCGGTGATGAATTATTTCTAAGAATCAGACTCAACGTTTTTTTACGATAGAATCTAAATCTAAGGTATTTGTTAGGATCTATAACTTTTATATATCGGCAGATTATTATTTTAATAGCCTTTTCGTCTTATTTATAATTAAGATGCATCTGTTTACAATAAAACAATTTAATGGAGTCTTTATTTTTGTTTTTGGTTGCTTATATTATTTTTTTTCAATGTTTTTTTGAAGTTAAAACTTATTTCTTCCTCAACAACCTGGTTTGGGAAAGTATTGTTGATAACTGTTTGTTTTATGTTGTTTAATTCTCTATAAAACAATGGGTCCGAAGAGAAAAAACATTTCCACACTATAAATCATGTTTTGTTTTTTTATCACATCTATTATACATCTGTGTGGACATTCGCTTTTATGATTAAGTAGACATAGATATATATATACATATATATATATATGTGTGTGTGTGTGTGTGTGTGTGTGTGTGTGTGTGTGTGTGTGTGTGTGTGTGTGTGTGTGTGCAAAAATATATAGAAAATAGGAAAGAACTCGTTAGGTAAATAATCCAATGTTCTTTAGTATTATTTTTAAAAAACACTGCTCGATACAAAAGTAGAGCCTAAATATAATTATTTATTTAAAAATATGATTCCATCGCTACATAAGAGTTCTCATGTTTCAAAACAAGAGCCGAAAACTTCAATATAATTATTTGAATTAAATTGAATTAAAGTACCAAGTTCTGTTCCATCTTCAAGCGAAATTTTTTTTGGAATAACTAATTCTTGAAATTTACGCGTTTTATAAGCATATTCATTATTAAAATTAAAATTACTATGGTAACGGTAATATATATATAATTGAGGCGGTTTTCAGCGCAACTATATGTATTTGTATTGTTGGAAGTGGAACGTCTGATAAGTTTAATGTCGATATATTAACTTGCAAAAAGCCAGCGTACTTTTCGTTTCACTGTTAATGATCGACGCTGTTTCAAACTATGAATCCAATTTGAAATTTTGGCTTCAATATAAGTTAATATTTTGTGATAAATATTCCAAAAGTAATGTTTTATTTTGAAAGGAAGAATAAAAAAAAACCTTCGAATTTTATAAAAATCTCAAAATATTCAATAACGTAATTAAAGGCATAGTTCGCTTTACGAAATCTCGTCTTATATAATTTTGCTTTTACAAAAAACTTACGCAAGTACAGATTATTTAATCCGTTATCTGAAATGGCATAATACGAATAAGCAATTACCATTTATTTATATAGAACATATTTCTAAGCGTTCCTAGACTTTCTGTGTTTTTATCACTTTCTATTGCTTCCTAATTTAATGTCGAAGGTCGAAGTTCATCGGCAGGTATAAGTGACATACAACAACAATATGCGCATCTACCTCGGTTTAAGTCTCTTCCGCATCGCACCCTGTGACAAGACTTTCGGATCACTGTATATTGAGTCTTCTTTTGAGAAGGGTGTGGGAACTTTTAGATTATATCTTGACTCGTTTCTGTTTTTAGGTTTTGATATTATTATTTACTTATTTAATTCGACAACAAACATGAGTTTTTGGGACAAACTCTGGCATTTTATTTAAGAACATTCTCTTAAAAGAAATATTTTATGCTTTTAATGTGGCACAATGGTCATCGGTGACATGGTGTGTAATCTAGTTGTTCTATATTCTACGTTCGAATATTATGAGTAGTCCAACACAATATCTTTAGTTATTCTAGTCAGACAGTTTGCTAGATAGTAATAGGAGTTCGATCCTTGCAATTTTTTTTTTAAATTACTGTAGTCTTTTGCTAGATTGTTCTACACTACTTAAAATGTCCATTTAGAAATATGAATGTTTTTGGTGCTAAGAAAAGAAAAGAAAAAAATCTCAATTTAACATTGGATCGCGGAAATTAACTTCTCATTTTTATTCGATTTGGCTTTATTTTGTTGTGTTGCAGTTTGCACTTTTTTTAAAAAAAAAAGCGTCATGTTACCGAACCAAAAACTTTGTAGCCATCCTGGAATTGGATTTGTAATATGCACAATTAAATTACATTGGACTCAATAAAAGAAAAAACTATGTAAAAAAAAAAAACATATTCCGCTTCTTCTTCTTTGCACAAAATTTTTTTTTTTATATTCTGCTTTTAAGTAATTCCCATAATTGTAGTAACAGTGCTTTAATCACCTGTGTCGACGCACAAATCTTAGAGACTGATTTGCGCGCAATGCAAAGAAAGGAAGAATGCTTTTTAGAATGGCTGTAATAAAAATGAATGGTTATCGTTAATGATATCAACTCGAAACGTAAAAGGACGAAGAAAATCATTAGAAAAAAAACATAAAAAGGAGAAAAAAAATTCAGATTACTGGTTGATTTACTCTGTTTAATCCTATCAGTTCAATATTGATATCATCAGGAGACCTTTTTGTCTGTCTGTCTGTCTGTCTGTCTGTCTTTATTTCTCGATATCTTTGAAGTTTGTCCTCACTCACTCCACTCAGCAATTGTTCACTCTTTCACCCTCATTGATTAAACAAAAATAAATTACCGTAACTTATGGTATAAAAATGGACATATATATGTTACGTGTATATATACACGTACAGAACATACTGATTGGATAGATAGATAGATAGATAGATAGATAGATAGATAGATAGATAGATAGATCTCACATAGATAGCCGCACATAAGAGCCGCCTTATCACCCCTCGCATCATTTGTGGTGACCCCCATCTCGTTTCAGCGTCTATTGCCTCTAAGTAGACTCTTAAGACGTGTATTCGATTTCCTCCACATGCCCTATAACACTTCTGCAATAAATTTACCTTCTCAGTCCAGATGATGATGAAACCTTGTTGCAAACAACACAGGTATTGGAAAGATCAAAGAGGCAGGTTGTGATAGTTGGCTTCCTTCTGTTTTTATGATGACTTTTCAAATGGTTTACCCTCAACAACAGAATGCGCTCACATACACCATTTACAAGACTGCTTATCAGTTGGCAAATCAGTGAGTTCTGCTTTAGATGAATCAGGCTTTAACGTCCACCGTCAAAAAAGGTCGAATTCCTCCATAATTATTATATACATATATATTTCTAAATAATTAATGGATTTCAAACATATCATGCATATGTGACAGAATCTCTGTAACCTTGATTTGGGTTGATTTAATCTGCAGGCCTTATAACTCTTGTATCACCAAATGCCTCCCCAGTCCAGATGATGATCTGCAAACCTTATTGCTAATAACAATACAGGTATTATTGGCAGATTGATGAGGAAGGTTTTAATTGATTTGCTTCTGGTTTTGTGATGACTTTTCAGATGGTTTTTTTTCCAACTGGCCTCAACAACAGCAAGTGCTCACATACACAACATTTACAAGAATTATTTCAGTTGGCAAATCAGAGTGAGTGTTTCTTTGGAGATCACACTTGATCTGAGCATGTCTGAGACATTTGTCCTCAAAGACATTGCATCTCTTTGCTGATAAAGTGCCTCCAAACTGTATGATTTAAAGCCAGTTCTTCCCAATGCTGAACATCGATGTGCAATGCATTCAGATTGACTTTAAACCTTGTGTAAGCTTTCTCATCTTCAGTTCCCAGTTGAAAAAGGAAATTTGGAAAATTTTATCCCCATTTTTACAGTCCTATTGAGGATTATCAATTGTTTCAATGCTGTTGCCTTTGGTGGACAAACGTGTCTGGAATCAAAGACTGCCATTTCATTTTAAGCATATGTCTCTGATGTTTTTGTTGGAAACGCTCAAGTAATTTTCTATACCTACGGTATGTTGCCCATGTCTCAGAAGAGTACAGCAGGGACGTAAAGATACAGGCCGTATATACATTATCATTTAATCTTGATATTAATATTCCCATCTGACCAAACTCTACCTTCCAGATTGACAAATGCAATACTTGCCTTCTGAATGCGTGAGAAAAATCGCAGTATCCAGAGTAATGGCCTTTTTCCAATAAGCACTTTTCAAAATATGGGGAAATGTCAACAACATTTAGCCTGGTATTTTTAACAGTTATTGTTGGCTCTTTGTAAGGTACGCCAGGCTGCGGGTAAATACCACTTTTGTCTTCCTATGGTTAATCCTCATTCCCAAATCATCAATTATTTTCCAGAAGTGATCTATTATAAATTGAAAATCTTCTTCAGAACCTTGTGATACAAATTATGCATCATTAGCATACTGCAGATCCTGGTTCTGGCCCTTGATTTAGTGTTTAACCTTTCTAGGGTTCTAAATTCCAATAAGACACTCGCTTCAGTCCTCCGAAGCATGTGATCAGAATTGATACGCAACAAATAGATTCTGGGAAAAATGTTGGAAAGAATGTCCTTTGCTTTGAATTATTTATTGCCACCTCAATCTCACCTGAAGTGCAATCTTACCTGAATGTAGGTAATCTCACCTGAAGTGCAATCTTACCTGAATGTAGGTAATCTCACCTGAATTGATGAATCTTATTTGAATGTAGGTAATCTCACCTGAATTGCAATCTTACCTGAATGAAGTAATCTCACTTGCAAGTGCAATCTTACCTGAATGTAGGTAATCTCACCTGAAGTATTTTCTCACCTGAAAAGGGCCGTTTAATATGAGATGAGCCTTCAGATCAGTCTGATGACTTATTTTACTAAATATGACAAAATGGGAGGGAAACCAAATTATTTTCCAGGAATCCTCTATAAAGTCTCACGATTTACCTTGCCAAAAGAATTGACGAATTCCCCCAGATATCTAGTAATAAAGTTATGCTCGCTGTTTGTCTTCCTGAAGCTATCTTTCCAGAGACATCACTTCCATAAGACCCAATGCCTGCTCTAAAATTTGTGCTTCAGGAATATCTAAAGGGAATATCATATTTTGCTTATACTTTTGCCCATTTTCGAGGATGATTTTATTTTATTTTAACTGAATTTATGTATTTTTATGTGTATCTAGAGTTATAGGAATGTTTTATTTCCCAATAAATGAATACGCGCTCGGACATACAGAACATTCGGACAATTTCTACATAATTTATGTCCAGAAAAGAACACAAGAAATATTAAATAAAAACTTAACCGCATTTCACTGTCAGTCGTTTTGATCAACGAATCTTGTATAAAATGGATTAATTATTTTCCATATGCAATTACATTCATCAGGAAAATGGCTTGGTGATAATTAGCAAAAACGCAAATTAATCGAAGGTGATAGATTTTTCTTGAGATGGGATTATAGATGGTGAAGTGGTGTCCCTGTTATGAGGTTTAAGTGGCCTGAAGATAACGACTCAAAAACTGATTTTGAAGGCAGAACTGGAACCCTGATTCAAGAAGACAAACACCTTCCAGAAAGACGCATTTTCGTGCATGAAATTACATTCAACAAAAAATATAATAGGATATCTTAATAAAATGAGTTTCGAAGACACTAATTTGGTGCAGTAGCTAATAGAGTTAACCGTGATCAAAATCTTGTGAAGCATTCTAATGAGGAAGGTTCACATTGGCGGACGGCAATTTACTAGGAAGCATGAAGTCTGTCTCAACAACTCTTCATAATCCATGGATTAACATCTAAAACTATTTTTTTGCTATTAATCTCTTCATCATTAGTGCTGTCTGTATATCTTGTCGGTGTTGCTATTTTAATATCTTTGTCATCATTAAAGGAAAAATGGCATGTTACCGTTTATTTATTCAAAAGCATTTATAAAGAAATTTTTATTTCAACTTGAATTTTTTCCTGAATGTTTCAGTAAAGTATAAATGATGGGAAACTTGGAAAACCGATAAATTAATTTCCTGTTGCCATATCGTAGGAATAAAATGTCATTTCGTAATGGCTTGTTAAAATATCCTACGCACTAAAGGTGCAGATCTTTCTCAAAAGTACCAGACTCCTCCTGCTACGCTTATCATTACAAGATGAATTACCCGACCACAAAACCCTGTTGCTCGCCTGAAGGAAAAGTTCAAAAGCCGTAACCTTTCTCAATAGTCATGAATTATTTTCTTGCAACCTAATAAAGGAAATTATGCCAACTTCGTGATGAATTATTTTTCAAATGCAACCTCTTCTCAATAGAGGAAATCCGTAACCTTGTCGTGATGAATTATTTTCCAACTGCAACCTCTTCTCAATAATTAGGAAATGCCGTAACCTTGTCGTGATGAATTATTTTCCAACTGCAACCTCTTCTCAATAAAAGGAAATGCCGTAACCTTGTCGTGATGAATTATTTTCCAACTGCAACCTCTTCTCAATAAAGGAAATGCCGTAACCTTGTCGTGATGAATTATTTTCCAACTGCAACCTCTTCTCAATAAAGGAAATGCCGTAACCTTGTCGTGATGAATTATTTTCCAACTGCAACCTTTTCTCAATAAAAAATGCCGTAACCTTTGTCGTGATGAATTATTTTCCAACTGCAACCTCTTCTCCAGGTCGTGAAATTATTTTCCAACTGGAAATGCCGTAACCTTGTCGTGATGAATTATTTTCCAACTGCAACCTCTTCTTCTCAATAAAGGAAATGCCGTAACCTTGTCGTGATGAATTATTTTCCAACTGCAACCTCTTCTCAATAAAGGAAATGCCGTAACCTTGTCGTGATGAATTATTTTCCAACTGCAACCTCTTCCAACTGCAATAATAGGAAATGCCGTAACCTTGTCGTGATGAATTATTTTCCAACTGCAACCTCTTCTCAATAAAGGAAATGCCGTAACCTTGTCGTGATGAATTATTTTCCAACTGCAACCTCTTCTCAATAAAGGAAATGCCGTAACCTTGTCGTGATGAATTATTTTCCAACTGCAACCTCTTCTCAATAAAGGAAATGCCGTAACCTTTGTCGTGATGAATTATTTTCCAACTGCAACCTCTTCTCAATAAAGGAAATGCCGTAACCTTGTCGTGATGAATTATTTTCCAACTGCAACCTCTTCTCAATAAAGGAAATGCCGTAACCTTGTCGTGATGAATTATTTTCCAACTGCAACCTCTTCAATAAAGGAAATGCAATAAAGGAAATGCCGTAACCTTGTCGTGATGAATTATTTTCCAACTGCAACCTCTTCTCAATAAAGGAAATGCCGTAACCTTGTCGTGATGAATTATTTTCCAACTGCAACCTTGTCTTCTCAATAAAGGAAATGCCGTAACCTTGTCGTGATGAATTATTTTCCAACTGCAACCTCTTCTCAATAAAAAAAAATGAATTATTTTCCATAACCTTGTCAATAAAGGAAATGCCGTAACCTTGATGAATTATTTTCCAACTGCAACCTCTTCTCAATAAAGGAAATGCCGTAACCTTGTCGTGATGAATTATTTTCCAACTGCAACCTCTTTCTCAATAAAGGAAATGCCGTAACCTTGTCGTGATGAATTATTTTCCAACTGCAACCTCTTCTCAATAAAGGAAATGCCGTAACCTTGTCGTGATGAATTATTTTCCAACTGCAACCTCTTCTCAATAAAGGAAATGCCGTAACCTTGTCGTGATGAAACCTTGTCGTATTTTCCAACTGCAACCTCTTCTCAATAAAGGAAATGCCGTAACCTTTGTCGTGATGAATTATTTTCCAACTGCAACCTCTTCTCAATAAAGGAAATGCCGTAACCTTGTCGTGATGAATTATTTTCCAACTGCAACCTCTTCTCAATAAAGGAAA